TTTCATAGAGAGGCACAGGGGTCACGGAATTGGAAAAGAATATAATCAGAGCATCTTAATTGGCCCTGTAATGAACATTATTTGCATAAATATAGCATGAGCACTGGTTACTGGTTTTCAATTTTTAGTATCGACCTGAATACATAACATGAGAGACTTCGTAATAATTACAGAATAGAATTGCTAACAACTTTAGCAATGTAAAAATAAATGTACAGTTTATACAGGTTGAAAAGTAGGATACAGAGAGTTAAAGAAAAGGATAAGCTGCCAGTATGTTCATCTCATGAAGTAGATCTTTATGTATGATAAAGTTATCTGAAGAAATCAGAAGAGTTCTGTTTTTAAGTGATACACACATTTAAAAATTTGTATTGAGGAAAAATAAAGGACACAGAGACATTTCTGTCAATTAGGATTGGTGCCAGCATTGTGTTTGGTTTTCTTTCTGTTTGACGTTGATTCAAAGTCCCTATATTAGTAATTGACAATTAAAAATCAAGCAAAAAGAAAAAAAAATCACATGGAATATGTTAGTCTAGTTTATGGAAGGCATTACCAGAAACACATGAAATACCTTTTGGGGACACACTGTGCAGGAGACAAGACACTGTGGCATTTAATTTGCAGGCCTGATAATTTTCATCCGAATAGTAGATCCCACAGTGATTTCTGAAAACCATGAAGGCCCATTTTGGCATGAATGCATCTTTACAGTGCCTCTGTACTCAGCATGTACTTTCTCATTTTGAATTAAGAGGAAACTGATGCAACGGCTATGCCAGAGGAACCTCCGCAAAATGCTGGCTTGGTGGAAAGGGAACAGTGTTCAAACAGTACTGTCTGGTCAACTGAAAGAGTTGTTTTCAAGCTCTTTTGTTCTACGATTTTAAAACTGTCTTCTACCTCCACCTACCTATAATTTGTAGGACTTTTCTTCCAAAGATTGAGGCCACTTTATAACTATTATCTCGATTATCCTTGTATGAAGAAATCACTTTGCAATTCCATGAAAAGTGGAAAAGTGAGCACCACTGATCTCATTTTTTATTTATTTTATTTTTTATTATGGTGACATTGGTTAACAAAATCCAGTAAGTTTCAGGTGTACAATTTAGCAGTAAGGCGTGTATATATACACACACACACACACACACACACATATATATATGTGTGTATATATATATGTATGTATATGTGTGTATATATATGTATATGTGTGGTGTATATATATATGTATATGTATATGTATATATACTGCATTGTGTGTTCAACTCCCATAGTTAGATTTTTTCTGTCACCACATATTTGACCCCTTTTAGCCCAACTACTTTCCCCCTCCTTTTTGAAAGGACAAACAGGTATAGAAGTTAAATAGTGACACCATCACAATAAAGTAGCATTAAAATTCTTATCTTCTGACTTCCTAGACAGCTTCCTTTTGAGCCACAACAATGTTATCTCAAGGCATTTTAATGATATTGGTGTAGGAGTTTACAAATTCAGATAGGAATAGTTACACACAACCCAGAGTACATGGTCGAAATGGATTTCCAGCATCATACCATAAAACTGTTTCTCAAAAAGTTTTTTCATAAACTTCCTGAGTATATCATGAACTCATATGAATGTAGGAGGAAAGTAAATTTACACAGGATAAGAAAGAATAATTTTAGTACTGAAAGTACATAACGAGTAATTGAAAATAATTCTAAATTGAAGTTTTAGGATTTCCTGAGTAATTTGCCCTTTTAAAGACTGTGGAGGTTACAAAAATTTCAAGAGAAAACAACCAAACCCGAGTGAATAATTTTTTTTTCTTTAGGGGGAAAATTTATTGTAAACAGAATTGTGAGGGAGAGAACAAAAGAAGGTTGAGAAAAGTGCTATTAGGAAGGCTCCCTCACTAATTAAGCATGAAGTCACCTTCAGTGTGGTCCCCATAGCTGGCCCTGTCTATCCAAAAGTCATAGCTGGCCCTGTCTATCCAAAAGAGTGCCCTGGAGGAGTATGTCCTCCCTGCAAATGAGCCAACTTGCCCACGTAGAAAGTACAGCCTGGGAACTCTCCCCAAGAGAATAGAGTTTTGCTTACATTCCTACCAGCGAGCAGACGGGAAGCATTCTCAGCCTGACAAAGAGGCAAGCAGAAGCCAAGGCTAAAAGTAGATTGCATTTCTGAGGTTCTAACATTGAAAGAACGGAAACCATATGGGGATTACTTTATTATTCAACTGAAGCCTTCAGGTGGCTTTAAATTAAAAAGAATACTGTCAACCACATCTCTGGGCCCTTTTTTTTCTTTTTCCATCCCCTCCTTCTCTTTTCAAATGTTACAAGCTCTGTGATTTAGTAATGGAAATACCCTAAATATAAATTAAGCATTATGTCCACCCAAGAAGTTCTTCTTGGCACTCAACCAGGAGTTTGGCATTAAAATCTCTCATATGAGTCTTGGGAGAGTAAGTTAACATTTAACGCATGCATGTGTGTATGTGTGTATACACTTTGATTTTTTCCTTCTTTAGAATCATTCTCCATTATGTAAAGATATTTGCTGAAAATATACATGCAGTGTTAGAAAGGATGTAATCGCCTTGAAAAAACATAGCAACTATAACTGAAATGTAGGTTACGCCTCTTAGAAAGACACCCAGTTTTTTATGTAACAGCAACTACAAGATTTCCTACTGCTGCCACCATCACAGCTGTGAATATCCCCTCCACAGCACAAGCATTTAGGCCTTAATTCCTGCAACTCTAAAGAGATAATAATGCTGACTGCATTAGCCAGGACAGGCTGATAATGCTACAGCAACACAATCACCCCCAAAACCCCAGTGACTCATAATCACTGAAGCTTACTTCTTGCTCACTCTATGTATCCGACCTGGGTCAGGAGATCTTTCCACCAGGGCCCCTAAAAGACCAAATTCTGCAGGCTTCATCTCATCGTGTATTTCTACTAAGGTAGGTGGGAGGGATGAAGCAAATCTCACAGTGACTCAATCAATCTGGGAAGCAACATATGTGACCTCGGCTCACATTTTGTGGACCAAAGCCAGTCACATGGTCATGCCTAATCACAAAGGGGGAAAGGAAGTGTGACTTTCCTGTGTCCCCAAGGAGGGCAGCTGATACATTAGGGAGCATCCTTGATGACCACAGGAGTCTTGCAAAGGCTTTAAAGAACAAAAAAACAAACTTCTAGCGCCCATAAAGACTATTATTTGATTCCTGAGGTTCATAAATCTCACCTTACTCTTACTTATAGTCCCAGCCCCCAGGATAGGGAACTCAATGTTGGTTTGACGAAAGAATAGAGAGAGACTGGACAATATATCTATGATAGTTCCTACTTCTTTACACCCCAGGGTTAATTTGGCAAGTTAAGTAAAAAATTTCTTTCTGTTGTAAATAACAAAGATAATAGAATAAATGAATGAATGATGCCATCTCTGTACTTCGAGTGCTTCCCAAGTTCTCTATAGGTCAGAAAATGGTGGGCAGAGCTTCGAGTAAACTTGTTAAGACAGGAACTCACAAAGATATAAGGAAAGAATCTCCTTGCTAGTCCTTTAAAGAAGACCAAAAAAAGATTTCATCACTTACCTACCCTTAATGCAGAGGCAAATTTCCTCACCATTAAGTACTCAGGGTCAGAATATTACATTTTAATATGAATAACTCTCTCTTCACTGCGTACATACAAAACAGCAAAAGAACTTCTGCATAAATCTGCTTTCCCAAGAAACAGTCCAAAAATGTTTTATCTAAGAGAGAAGCTGAAGGTCAAATGAGAAAGAATACATATAAGTGGAACCTTATTTTCTCTAGTTCAGAAACATTTCCCTAGCATTCCTTCTCTCATACATTAACCCTACTCTATACTCTGAAATTTTAAATAGAAAGAGTAAAGGAAACTTATTGGAAGGAGGCTCAGGAGGCTTTTAGTAACATTAGAATACTGCTTACTGTTTACTAGATACATGGAGAGACTTAAATAAAAAATTCAGGCCAAACTGTATCTGTACAAGAAACCAGCTGTTCCGACTTATTCCTACCAACACAGTTACACAGGACTCCAGGCTCTATTATCTAGGCTCTGTGAACTACTCTAGCAACAATTGCAGGGGCTTTGAAGCATTTCAGGTTGCAGAATAAGGTCCTCATTTTACACAGAAGTGCTGAGACAGTTTATTCTAAGAACTCTAAATTCTACCTAAAAGCCATCAAAGCTGAACAAGGGAAAAAAATGTAGGCTCAGCTCCCAAAGTACTTTTCTTTTCCCTGTCAGCCCAAGACTAGGCAGCACCCCTCTCCCCCTACTGCCACATCTCTGTGCTCATCCTTGATGACTGACACCATCCCTTGAAATAGGACCAGATGCTAATGATCCCAATTTAGCATAGTCTATCAGTGGTAATGCTTGAATGAATTCATCTACATCCATTCTAAAGTGCCTGTGAGTACAGTCATCTCACTTGAAAGTTCTGTGAGAACTCATTTTTTATTTTTTGATCATCATCAATAAATGACAGAACTGTATAACTATGAAGAAGCAGCTCTAAAGACTATTGGCTTTTAAGTACTGAAGAGGACTAGTGGAAAAGCAACAACTATGGTAACAGTTATTTGACATTTTATAATGAGTGTTTTATAATTACTACGTTCTGTGCTAAGAGCTTTATAACCTCATGTGAACCTTAAAACAACCGTATGAGCTATGCCTACTGACTTCCTGCCAAAGAGGACAGTATGAAAAAGGTGGAAAAAGAGTGACTTTACAGTGAAGAAACGTGGCAAACGTGACCTCTATCAGGTCATCGAGGTCAACATCAACAGTGATAAGCCATGCAGACAGTATATATCCCAGATTATGATATATTGAGAACGGTGAGTCACTTTTGAGATCTTCCTCTCAAACAACCATGACCTAGTCTAATTATGAGAAAAACATCTGACAAATCACAAATGAGGGACATTCTACAAAATACTGACCAGTATTCCTCAAGGTCATCATCAGAAACAAGTCTGAGAAACTGTCACAGATCAGAGGAGTCGAAGAAGACATTACAACTAAATGTAATATGGATTCCAGGATGAGACCCTGGAACAGAGAACGGACATTAGGGGGAAACTGGTGAAGTCCAAATAAACTCGAGTTTAGTTACTAATCAAGTACCAGTGTTGGCTCCTTAGTTTTGACAAACATACCATAGTGAGGCAATGTGGTCAACAATGAGGGAAACCAGGTGAAGGGCATATGAATATACCCTTTCCATCTTTGTAACTTTTCTGTTAATCTGAAACTATTCTAAAATAATGTTTATTCAAAAAAAAAAACCTCTCTAGGTGTGATGCTTTTACTTTCTTTCTAGAGATGAAAAATTATAGGCTAAACGGTCTCCCAAAATTACAAGCTAAAAAAGTGCAACAGAACTTGGTCAGATATATCTATTTCACATTTAAGCAACCAGTGAAATAGGGCTGTAAGATAAGTCCTTGCATAACATTTATGAAAATAATTTTGTCAGATACATGCTGAGAAACTTAAACTAAAGGAATTTATTTCACTTACATTTCTCATAATAATGCTCTTCTATTATAGTGCACACTTTTACATAAAGGGGTCATACCATTACTTTCTAAATATTTCATCTTTAGTTTCATCACAAATTTCAATTACTTGGGCGATGCCATACGATATCATCACATTTACATAAAACTAGCTTAAGATTTTGCCAAAATGTTGATGCTTCAACATTTCATAAGAGAAAAAAGCATTACCCAGTGAAGACATTTCACTTCATAATGCCCTATCTTTCAACCAAGCTCACTTGTTACCACCCACATGTTCTCTTCAGATGCTGGATATTTTGGTGCTGGTGAGCTCAGCCTGTTGCTTGAACAGGATGAGGGGGTTACAGGCTAGGGTACCCTTTGAAAGGAAATGACACCAACAAAAGGGAAGACTAGCATGCATTTTGGGTTTCTTCAGATCCTGAGAGATAGAACATCAACTGTGGCTGCTCCGAAAACCTAAAGAAAACTAAATGCCTTCTGACATATAAATTCTAACAGTGTTATCTTCTAAACTAGTGTTTCCCACAATGTGAAGCCAGCCTCTCTGAGAAAACTCCTATATCCTTCCAGAAAAGCTCAAGCAGTCCAAGATACATTCTTTTTTTCCTTAAGATTTGCCAAAATCAGACAGTAGGATTCAACAAATATTTCTAAATACTGTACTTAATATATTGTTCCCTGTGAGAATATAAAGTGGAAGTGATCCAGCAAGAAAACAGGCTGCCTTCTGTGTGTGATAAGATTAGCTTTGCCTAAAGACACGTTTATCTTAATCTTATTCAATTTACAAGTATTTTTTTAAGGGCTAGTGATTCCTTGAATTATTGATTTATTTTAACACTCTGGGCTTGTCTCAGGAATAGCTAAATGCCACTCCCCCCCGCCCAGCTCCCCTTAAACTTCAAACTATCCCAAGGCAATTAGGTAATGGCACCATATCTGGTTTAATAAGAGAAAAGGATGATGAGAAAAAAAAAAAAAGAGGAAGTGAATATGACACATTTTCCCACAACATCACGGCAAAATTGCAATAGAGTAACAGATGGAGCTAACTCTCCTGATTCACTGGACATGGAAATAGAACCAAATCTAAAGTTTAACTTCTTCCTTTCACCAATGGGAAAGAAATGAACCAAGTTCCAGAAGCCATAATCATTCCCCAGACACACACACACACACACACACACATACAACTTGGTAAATTGGTACTCATCCAAAACAAACCCTTCTCAAGAATCCTTGCTATTTTTATAGCCTAACTCATGAAAAAAATCTTTTCATTTTGGAGCCCTGGGAGGTTTAGGCTGGAATTTTTAATTTCTAATCTCATACCAGTATGAGAGGCCAAAGCAGTGAGAGGCCACATGGAAGTGACACTTCTGGGATCATTGTGGTGAGATAGAGACTGGACATCAGAAGACTGGCCTTTGGGTAGATTCTTGGGGGCTCAGAAAAGCATTTAATCCTCTAGATGAGTATCTCTGAGTCTGCCTGCATCCTGATCTTCCTCCAGTCAGACATCCCTAATCTAAACCTCCTATTTATATCCTCCACAGTCTCAACATTCCAGATGGATGGACGGATGCTGAATTCATCACACTAATCTCCCACCCTTCAAATCCTGTCCTGACTCC